CTGAACACCAAGAATGACATGATTACTGCCCCCTTCCCCCCACCTTTCCCTCCAACCTCTCTGATATTTTTGATTTTCAACCACCAAATAAAATCAACCAAAGAAAAAGCAATAACTCATTTGGCCTTGCTGGGAAATGCTTTAGTGAAATTTCCAAATACCTTAAGTTTATTTTTTTTTAAGAGTCTCATCTCATAGTTCCTTTTAACTATAATGAAAATTTCTCACTCTACTTTTTGTAGCCTTTTTGGGAGAAATTTTAAAAATACAGAGACATGAATATACTCTAACCCATTCTGAATGACTCATGATGATAATTATGAACATGAACGCTATGTGGGATAAAGCTGTGGGTCCAGTTAGATGCTTCTGTAAGAAACATCTCCCAACGTGTGTTCTGTGGAGGTAGTTAATTGATGTTATTAGTAGAGAGGGCTGTATGGTTAAATATGTTGGAAAACAAAAGTTTAAGAGATTTATCAGGTTCTGGGGCGCCTGGGTGGCTTAGTCGGTTAAGCATCCGACTTTCACTTAGGTCATGATCTCGCGGTTCGTGGGTTCTGAGCCCCGCGTCGGGCTCTGTGCTGACTGCCAGCTCAGAGCCTGGAGCCTGTTTCAGTCTGTGACTCCCTCTCTCTCTGACCCTCCCCTGCTCACGCTGTCTTTCTCTCTCTCCTAGAAATAAAACATTATAAAAAATTAAAAAAAAAAGATTTATCAGGTTCTGAAATGCTTAATACATTGTGAAATCCTGAAATAAGGGACAGAATCTGAGGTGGCTCTGATATTTTAAGGGACGCCATTGAGAAACACCTTATAGTCTACACTGAATGACTCTGCTGTACTTTCTGAAATTTGTTTCTGTCTTTTAAAAGAAGTTTCTCTCCATTCCTGTACAGTGAAACTGTCATCTATGACTTCTTGCTTCTGGCAATGTGCCTGGATCCAGAGGTTTCCCCTTGGTGGTCTGGAAAGGGAGGTAAAAGGTTCTAAATATAAAATCAGGTCTTATGAGTAAAAGGTATGGTATTTAGTGCATGGGCTTTGTGACATTAATTATGGCTTCTTGAAAGCACTTTGTTTTGAGGTTGTTGAAGAAATATGCCAAGCCATTAGCAGCTAACCACACCTACTGGTCATTCAAAGTGGTATAAAACTTCCATTCAGACAAGGAAGGTTTGATCCAGTGGTCAGATAGATACAATGCTATATATCTGTATATGATAGATTCAGGCATCTGTGGACATTTCATTTAGAGTTTTGGGAATCTAAACTTTCTTCTTATATTCTGAGCCTTGAAAGCCGTATCTCATCACCTCCTCCCCATTCTAAGCCCCCTCCATGTTTCAGTTCTTCAACTCAAAGCAAAACCTTAAAATTCTAGGATTTTCTTTCTTCAAGCCTGAAATCTACCTCTCCAGTATTCTCTCTTTGAACTCCACACTCACTCATTGTGAATTGACTCTTTCATCTCTGTTCCTTCAGAGTGTTGTCAAGATAGCTCACAGCTGTTCCTCCTGCTACTTATGCACCTTTCTCCTCTCTGTTAAGCCTGGGGTAACTCCTGCTTGCTCTCTCTCTCCCTCTCTCTCTTTCTCTCTCTATTTTTTTTCTGAGAGAGAGAGAGTGAGCAGTGAGTGCACTACTGGGGGAGAGGCAGAGAGAGAGGGAGAAAGAGAATCCCAAGCAAGCTCCATGCTGTCAGTGCAGAGCCTGATATGGGGCTCGATCTCATGAACTGTGAGATCAGATGCTTACCCAATTGAGCCATCCAAGGTGCCCAACTCCTGCTCAATCAGGACTAACTCTCTTGATAAGGCACTCCAAACCAAACAACCTACCAGCAACTAACTGAAACTTGATAGACTTGTTTTTTTGAGAGTGGGTTCTTGAATTATCTATATGAATTGTACAACCAAGGTTTATTATGACTAGAAAACAAGGGAAAATATCTTATTTGTTTCAATTATCCTATCTTTTGATTATTCTACTGTGGTATCGTAGGCATATAGCCATTGACCAGGAATATATTTTGGGAAACTCTTAAAATTATGGTAAGGTAGAAGAGAGTATGAGATGATCTTTAATTATGTATCATATTAGTATACCTTATATGAGAAAAATCTGTTTTGATGACTGATAAAATCCGGATGTCATTAATAAGTACCTATAAATCATTTAATTTATCTTCTCTTGTCCTCCTAGGCTCTTGTCTGGGGAATACAGGGTGGACAGGTAAATGAAGAGAATATTTCAACTATGGTCATATAATAGAATATTATACTTAATATGTAATATACATACAAATAAGCATTTTGTTCTAACTGCAAACCATGTTAACTATCAAGTACAATATGTCCTTTTTTCTAGTCTTCATTTTTCAACAAGTAACTATAATTAATAGATTTTCTATATTATTTTTAAAATTTTTAAAAGTGTTTTTATTTATTTTTGAGAGAGAGAGGCAGAGCATAAATAGGGAAAGGCAAAGAGAGAGGAGGACACAGAATCTGAGGCAAGCTCCAGGCTCTGAGCCGTCAGCAGAGTCTGACAGGGGGCTCGAACTCATGAGCTGTGAGATCACGACCTGAGCTGAAGTCAGATGCTGAACCAACTGAGCCACCCAGGCTCCCCTAGATTTTCTATATTTTAACATATTATAAATTTAAAATATATAATAAATAAGATTGAAAAATTTTTAACTATTAATAACATGACAAAAAAGAAACTATGATGTTAAACCTGGTCTCCCAGCATAGGGCTAGCTCCTTAGCCTCAGGGTCTTAAAGCAACATGACTCACTAAACACAGTAGGTCATTTGAATATGCTCATTAATTATAGTGTATTTATTCTGGGAAAATGAACAGTAAAATGATAGAAACATCATGTGAATATATTTTAATTAAGATTATCCTCTAATGCATACCTCTTCATGTAATTCCAATGACATGTCCCTGGTCCCATAGGAGAGTAAGAAGAGAATAGTGGGTTAAAACAGTTCTAGACAAAGAAAGGGACAGCTTTTTTATGATAAATTTGGGGCTTGGGGGAGCTTTGGGAAAGGTATATCTTTTTTGCTACTTAATATCTCTTTTGTTATTTGCTATTGTGTTAGATCAAACCCAATAACTCCCATCATTTAGGGAGCTCATCTGTTGATGTTTGTTTGTTCCTTTGACCTTGATTTTCTAGGTTGTTACATTGATAACAAGGCTTATAAATAAATTTGTTCCATTGAAGAGAAAAGATCCTCTTATTTCTTTCAGAAAGTATAACCCACTTCTGCTTTTTAACTAGTATGAGTAAAACTGTGAATATAGTAATTTATTTATGGTCTATGTGCATTTTTCTTTTGCTGAAAATGGACTTTGATTTTATTGTACTTAATACAAATGAGTTCCACAGCAAAAAAGAAAGTCTTACATCTTTCATAGTCATGTGTGGAGAGAGGAGCCAACCCGGGTACAGCTCTTCTGCAGATTTTTGGCTTTTAACAGATTGGGTTTATGATTCCCTCCTACTTCTTGCATTGGGAATTGATTCCTTAGTGCACTTTACACTGATTTCTCATCTCTCCTACTCAGTATATCTGTTTTCATCTATACTGATTATCTATCTTTCTTTCTATCTATCTATCTATCTATCTATCACCTACCTATAGATATATGGATATGTAACATTTTAGCATATAATATAAACATATATATTATATCTGGATTCTCCTGAATTCAGAGAGAACAATCTTTCTTTTGCTACCTCTGTCATGAATGAAGGCAACTCTTAGCCTTACCTCAAGTTATGGAAGACTTCTCTAAGCAGCCTAGCATTCCAAAGATCAGAGATCTGAGATTAACTGGCTACATTTATTTTTCAGGCTCAGAAATTAAAAATAATTATATGAAATTCAGTAGAGAAAAAACACCCTAGCCATTTCCTTGGCTAAACAGTAGCATTTACCAAGTGTTAGGGAATTACACTGTTAATTTATTCTTGACTCTTTTTCATCAAAATTTATAAAATTACTAGAACTTTTTGAAAGTGTTCAGTAAATAAATAGAAGATCTCCTCAGAGCTGAGTTGCATTGGGCCCTTGCATTGTTGTAACTGTTTGTAGATCCAGTCTGACTAGAAAGATCTTTTCCCACATGTCCTCTTTTCCCCCATGTCCCAAAATATTATGCTGAACCATTTCACATTTGCTCCAAATGGTTAAATATCTATGATGAAAGATATTTCTACCTAGTGATATTGTGAGAAATTTCTGGGGTCCTAAGTCAAAATACTGAATCTTAGATAAACTGATGATACTTAAGTCCCTTCTGGAATGTAGGAAATGATCAAGCAGAAGTGATTTCAGAGAAAGGAACAAAGAAAGCAAATGGTTATACCAAGCATTTACTTAGCTGTTTACTGGAGTGACCCTTTTCTGTTCCACAGAGCTTTTAAGTTAGAGAAAAAGTCCTTTCTATCAGACAGTACATTTTAATAAGTCACTATATATATATATATATATATATATATATATATATAGCGAAACTTTTGTTCAAGCATCTGAGAAGGGGGAGCAGGGACATATAACCATGTGTTTCACAGTTTTCAAACAGTAATAAGCTTACTGTTGAGAAATTTAATATGGACGAGTCCCTTCTTCCTCATCCAAAGTCACATAGATACCCTATTTCTGTACCTTATGACTCATACTTATATTTGATAGCTATGCATAGATTCTTGTAGGTTTCAATTCTTACATTACCAAATAACAGTATTCATATAAACAAAAATATGCAGAACATCTACCATATGCCAAATACTGGAAGGTATAGAATTACATGAGATTGAATTTGTTTCTGACTTGCCTCTCAACCTCCCCAAAATAGAGGTAAATAAGAAATGCGAGAAGCACTTATTGCCAATCATGTAATTCAAGTCATTCAACTTAACAACATGGTTACATAGTTTTATGTTGGCATTTGAAAATGATGCTTTTTATCTCTCTTACCTGAAGGATCTTATCACCAGGCTGCAGCAGGTTGGATGCTGGTCCATCAGGCTGAACCCTAGTAACAAAGATACCCTATAAGTCAGAAGTAACAAAGGTTAGGATTATTATCAAGAACTAGCCCTAGTTAAAAAAAAATCATTTACACAGATAACAATGAAAACAGACTAAAAACAGTTTACATATGTAAGTTCAAAGATTATTACAGTATTTTAAGGAAGGTACCAGTCGTCAAGTTTAAGAAAAGCAACATCTTACTTGCATCACAAATGTTTATCTTGTTTTTAAAATACATTTATGAATTATAAACTTATCTCATGGCATAGTCTTAATCACTTTCCTAAATAGTTTGAAATATGGTACTAAACCATCCTTCATATAATTCTGAAATCCTCCTAAGGTATTCGTCATTGAAAATGTCTTCTATTTGATAGGTTGTAAATTCAGTGAACACTTAAAGCACCTTATCAGAATTACATATAAATACTGGTTTATTTTATCCAATATTACTTTGTATGTTACTGAATTTTAATATAAAATGTGTATGAACAAATTAAACATAAGAAAATGCCAAGCATAAAGTTTTAAGCATAAAGTTTTTGCCCACATAGTTACAAAATCCCTAAACTGATTAATTTACTTTATAAAGTCAAAATAATTTTGTTGGTCATGTAGATAAAGCAAGCACATATTAAATGTCTACCTAATATGCTAAGTCTTGATTGCTAGTGTTATAGTGAGACTCAGAATATAATTTTTGTCTTCAGTGAACTCATAATATAGTAGAAGTCAAGATCCAAGAATTTAAAACATAAAAATATATTTTATATAAAAACAAAAATATGTATTAAATTATAAAAATTATATCATAATACAGTTGTTATTATTCTTTTGTTCCAGAGAAGTATTAATAGAATAGAAGATAATATTTTAATGTCATTGCCTGTTATTTAGTAAGTCGGCTTATTTGTTGATTTATAAACTTGATGAATCTCCCTTAAGTCCATTAGCTTTGTGTGTGTGTGTGTGTGTGTGTGTGTGTGTGAAAGGTTTAACGAAAGGACCCTAATTGAAATACTTTGTGTGTATTTTATTTAGCATTTCAGGTCTTTATGAGTTATTCATTTAAAGCTTTTGAATGATTTTTATCTTTCCAATTTTAATCAGTTTTTCTTCCCATTTAAAGATGGAACTACAGACAGCTCTCAAAATCCTTAGAAAACTGCATAACTTTTAACCACTAATCAACTTCTAGAGCTTATTTTAAGGAAGTAACCGGACAAGTTGCAACATTCATTTATTAATACGTTCATCATAGTATTATCAGTAATAAAAATACAAGCCACACATGAAACTCTAATAACAGGGAATTGATTAAATTAAAATAACTTCATACCACAGTATGATATATGATCATTAAAAATGAAGTCCTAGGTGACAGCCATAGAAGTTCACTAGTGCTTAGTGATACAAGCAGGAAATAAAACATTATATGGCGAGATACTATTATTATGCAATGATACTGTCTTTGCTGAAATGTGTTCATATGCATATTTGTGTGGGAAAATATCTGGAAGGATATATTCCTAAACATTAACAGTGGTTGTTACTTGGTAATGGTACTTCATATATACAATGTTGTATGTATATGTATATTTTGTAAATGTATATATAATATATATATAATGTATACATAATGTTATATGTATATGTATATTTTGTTTCCATTTTTGCTTAACTGTCTTTCCTAATTTTTCTATACTGATTATGTACCACATATAACATTAAGAAATAACAATTAAAAAATAGGTTAATGTCACTATTCAGAGTGACAGAGTGCTCAGCTTCAATTGTACAAATGGTCAGTTCAAAAGGAATAAGAAAACTGGTTGTTTGAAAAGGACAGTAAAATAAGGCATGATGGGTAATCCACCAGACCAGTGAATGGCACTGGTCATGAAAACAAATATAATTCCCACAGCCCTGTACACATTGGGCACGTAACACTCATGCCATCAGTCCACGACACTGTATGTGCAATTGGTCCCTGTGGTAGTCCTCCTCTTTGCCATCCAGGTCTCTCTACAACAGGCAGATTGTCACTATTACCCAAAATAAGCCACTACATCTCTAGGTGCCAAAGGTGAAGTTATTTTGAATATTACTTTATCCCAGCAGTCAAAGCCTGGGCTCCTAGTTAATTTTGATTGCTTTCTTCAGCTTATTCTATGGGAACCATTTTAATAATGTTTGCATGAATCTGGACCATAGGAGCTAAATTATTGGCCATTGTATCTGCAGTGCTGGGAGGAACTAGTAATGCTCCACAACCTGACTGCTGAAAGAATACAAGTGTAGTGTACCTGGCAGGCTTAATTTCATCCATCACAAAGCTCTGTGGGATTCAATCGCTGTTCTGAAGTCTTACATTGAATCTTACTCTTATGGTGGCCTGAGCCTTCCAAAGCATTTATTGCTGTTTTCTAAAGCTTTAATATTTCTTTTCTTAAATTGTTTTCTTTTTTCCCTTTTTTAAAATTAAAAAAATTTTAATGTTTATTTATTTTTGAGAGACAGAGAGAGATAGAATATAAGTGGGGGAGGGGCAGAGAGAGAGGGAGACCCAGAATCTGAAGCAGGCTCCGGCCTCTGAGCTGTCAGCACAGAGCTTGACGTGGGGCTTGAACTCACAAGATCACGTGTGAGATCATGACCTGAGCCAAAGTCTGACGCTGAACCAACTGAGCCACCCAGGTGCCCCTCCCTTTTTAAAAAACTTAAATCCATGTTAGTTAACATACAGTGTAGTAATGGTTTCAGGGGTAGAATTTAGTCAGTCAATAAATTTCATAACTAAGAAACTGTTACTGCCCACTGGTATATATAATACATGCATACATGTCTGATCAGATAGCATACTGCCACATTAATTGAAACAGATAGCAATGAGTGCTATGTTTGATAATGCTCTGTGGCGTTCATTATTTGTGGAGGTGGAATGTTTCCAAAAAGATTGCCTGCAAAGGCTACTGCTCTGATTTTTCACTCTATTTATAGGTAAAAAAAAATAACTCTCAACCATTTTGGGGCCTCTGCTATGGTGAATGTTGATGACTTTGATGCAGTTTTTGAAAATCTTTTTGTAGTAATGTGTCAGTCATCTTTTCAACAAATTCATTTTATTCTGAGACTTCAAAGAATACTTTGGCACTGATGACAGAATTTGGTAAGGAATCAAACTATTTGTATTCTGAACGTTAGAATGATAACTTCCTACTATTTGTTAAAAAGCCATCATGTATGTATCAAAGATCCATATCATGGCATTTAATCTATTTTATAACTCTGCAAGATTTAAATTATGTCCAGTTTCTTTTTTTTTTAGCTTATTTATTTTGATGGAGAGAGTGTGAGTGGGAGCCGGGTGTAAAGAGGGAGGAGAGAGAGAATCCCAAGTAGTCTCTGCACTGTTAGCGGGGAGCCCTGTGTGGGCTCAGACACAATGAACCTGAGCCAAAATCAAGAGTTGGACTCTTAACTGACTGAGCCACCCAGGTGTTTCAAATATGTTCAATTTCCTGTAATATTTGATTGAGTGCTAAATGTGGGACAAACTATCATGTAATACATTCAAAACAAGTGAAACAACCTATATACCTAAGGTCATAGCAAGACCATTTCGCCCAAGGAAGGAAAATACCTCGGTAACTCTTTTTCAATGAGGTTGTGTATATTAGTACTTTTGCTGCTGCTGCTGCTGTCAAGTTAACACAAACTTAGTGGCTTAAAATACCACAATTTTATCATCTTATGGTTCTGTAGGTTAGAAGTCCAAAACAGGTCTTACTGGGTGAAGACAAAGGTTTTGGTACAACTGCATTATTTTCTGGAATATATAGGGGAGAATCTGTTTCCTTGCCTTTTCCAGAGTCCTCTTTTCCATCCTCAAAGTCAGCAATTGTTCATCTCTCTGACCATTCTTCTATATTCATGTCTCCCTCTGACCACAGCCAAGAAAGATTCTGACCCACATGATTACATTGGGTCCACTTGGATCCAGGATGATCTCTTTACCTCAAGGTCCATAATTTAAACTCACCTGCAAAGTCTTTTTGCCATGTAATGTAACATATTCACAGGCTCTAGGAATTGGGATGTGGCTTTCTTTAGGGAGCCATTTTTTTTCTGCCTTCTCCATAGTGTAGGAAGTGAGTAAAAAAAGCATAGCTCTAGTGTTACCTTATGTTCACCATTCATTAATTGGAGACTTTGGGCAAGTTAATTAACTTTTGTGTACTTTTCGTCATCAGTAAAATGGGTATAGTAATGCACATACCTCATAGTTATTAGATTGCAAACATGCTTAGAATAGTGGATGGCACTCAGTGTAGCATCAATAAATGTTATTATAATTATTGAAAGTCTGAAAGCTGAGCTAAAATCTAAGGTCTTTATAGCCAGTAAAACCCATATTGAGAGTTTCTGAGTCTCCAATTGTACCAGAATGATTGTCCAGAAATTCCTCTTTACCCTCAATTGGAAGTATATTAAAAGGCCAACATTTGTGATCTTTCTCTTGAATGCACATCAGATAAAAGGATTTGCATCTCTTGTTTAGGGAAGAGGGCGGGGAAGATAGCTGGGAAGTCTCTACTCTCTCATCTGTGGTTTCCTAGAGGTGGCTTTCAGTGATAATGGCTCCAATTATTGTTCACTCTCAGTAGTGGACATGGGTCCCAACTATAGGGCTTTCTGATGGTTCTTACTAAATTTCAGGGGTTACTTCCTTTCATAGCTTCAAGTCAGGAGCATTAGCTATTTGCAGTAATAGCTGTTAGAATCTAGTTACTGGCTTATGGCATCTCTGAGTATGTTGCTCTAATGTCTAACATCTCCTGATGGCCATAATGATTTTCCCCTTGAGAGAGAGCATCTCACAACAGAGCAACAAAATACGTGCTGCAGCCCTTTCCGAAGAATAGATGTTTGCTTCTCTCACACACCATATCTGGGTGTGCTTGAGTCAGACACAGACTCCCTGGAGTCATGTATCACAGCTGGACCCCCACAGGTTT